CAATTCCATTCTTGGAAACATTTTTCAAACTCTTCTGTTTGGATGGCTGACAGCACTTCTCTCATTTTTTTTATGCACCTCTTCGTTGTCGTCAAATCACTGTCCTTTCATGTCCCGCTTCATTCGAGGAAACAAAAGGAAGTCTCAGGTTGAAAGATCAGGAGAGTAAGGTACACGGGACAAGAGAGGCATGCTGTTTTTGCCAAAATCCAGCGCACTGAGATTGACTGTGTGAGCAAGTGCGTTGTCGTAGTGGCAAAACCTGTCCCATTTGCCACAAATGAGGCCTTTTTTGTCGCACACTATTATGCAATCTTTTCAGAATCTCTACATAGAAAGCTTGATTAACAGTCTGACCTGGTGGTACAAACTCCAAATGCACTATCTCCTTCACATCAAACAAAACAAATCAGCGTTGTTTTGATCTTTGATTTCACTCGATGAACTCTTTTTGGGCAAAGTGAAGATAGTGTTTTCCACTAGCTTGATTGATGTTTGCTTTGGCGTTGTAACAATAGCACCGTCTGATCACAAGTAATGACCTTGGAAAAAAGTCTGGGTCCTTTTGGAGCTGTTCTTTCAAAGCAGGGCGTGTTTCCACTGGATGCTCTTTTCTGGTCAATCAGTACCACCCGAGGCACAAATCTTCCATTAAAATTCGCTTAACCAAGCTCCAAGATAGTCCCGATAACTTCCCCATCTCTTCAATGGTCCCTTGTTGGTCTTCAAGCACAAATGCACAAATTTTGTCAACATTTTTGTTGGCATTTTCATCTGTTCAGGAAGTTGACTGACATCCAGAACTAGGTTTGTCATCAATCGAATATCATCTTCTTTGAAACGAGAAAACCACTCATTCATACACTTGAGTTCTTCCCATAGCGCTCTCCTTGTAAGCTGTGTTCAACATCATAACAGCTTCTGCGGCATTTTTTCTGAGAAGGAAACACAGTTTCACAGCCACACACTTGCTGTTCTCTTAAATTGGCTACCACAAAAAAACGTTAGAATGGAACTGCTTTTACGAAAAAGTTCATTATGACCAGAGAGAACCTTCCCAGGCTACATCACTGGGTGCACTAACTCAGAGCGAGTTGCTAGATACATAACAGGGAAAAATGTATACTACAAAGCTCTGCCCAGCAAAGCTTTTTTCCTTTTTTGGGGGGGGAGGCGGGGTACCCCTGATACTATAAGCAGTTTGTCACATAATTGATGTGACTCATGGCTCCTTCATAGGGTATTCAACAGCTGAGTGTTTGGAAGTAGATCACCAGGCCTCTCTTCTGAGGCACCTCTGGTGAAGTAGTATGGGCAGTCTAGTGCGTTGACTATTTGTATCAAACAGTCATACAAATACTGAGATCTTACAGATTTAATGTCAGGATTAGATGCGATGAAAGCAATCACACAAAAGCTTGATAAATGTCAGCTATTTCTGTGTTCCAAACGCACTCCTAAGGCAAGGTGTTTAAGAGGGGGGGCCAGTTTGCAGCTAGATGACTTGTGACATCCAAGTGATGGTTTTGCTCAGTGGGGCCCCCAGGAGCCTCCTGCAGCAGAGCGCCCCACAAATCGTATAGAATTTAGATTCAGAATTGACAATTCTTCCTAATTCGATGATTCGCAAGAAGCTTGAGCATCTCGGTCTGAGAAATGGAGGGCCAGAAACGTAACAGAAGCGGGTGGCCGCAACCAGGGGGCCGGCTATCTGGACGAAAGGGACCACTTCTGACACCTCCTCTGGGCGGCGCCCGCGCGCGGCCCGCCGGACCACGTGACGCAGAGCCCACACCACGTGACCGGGTTGCTTTTCTCCCGCCCCTGCCCTTCCCCCACTTATCTTCCCCGCCCCCTGGCGGCTCCGCCCGCTCCCGCGCTGCGCGCGCTTCCGGTAGGGGCGGAAAGCGGAAGTGTGGGCGGGTCTGATGGGGCGGGCTCGGGGAGGTCCCGGGAGGATGGAGCAGTGAGCGGGTTCGGGCCGCTGCCGGCAGCGCCATGGAGACGGTACAGCTGAGGAACCCGCCGCGCCGGTGAGTGAGCCGGCCCTCCTTCGGAGGAATGGCGCCTGTGGGGTGGGCGTGGGGGCAGGGTGGGCGCCGGCTGCGGGGAGAGGTCGGTGGGGCGCCTGGGGCGAAGAGGCACCTGGGGCGGGGCCACCTGACTGCTGGGCGCACTTGGCGAGTCGGGGCTGGGGTGGGGGCAATCCGTGGAAAGTGGGGGTTCGGCGAGGGTGAGCCCCCATGGAGCACGCTGAACTGGGGCACAAGTTAGGAAGAGCACTTGCTGAGGGCGAGCGCCATCCGGGGGCAGGCTCCCCCGGAAGACCGACTGGGGTGGGCAGTGGTGGGTGCCGAAGCAGCAGGCGCATCCCAGACGGGGTTTGTCGACGGGGGTCGCTCGACTGGCTGGCAGAGGAAGGCTGGGTGGGCGTTCCGAGGCCGGGGATCCCACCTGAGCAACTCGACCGGGTAGGTCCTGTCAGGGGAGAAGTTTTGCGCTTCAGGCTGCGAGGAAGTGACAGGTGTGAGGGTCTCGCTGGGGACGTGCCTGCTGGATTTCCTTCAGGAGGATGCTGGGGTGCTATCCTGCCCTCTAAGCTGCTGACGGCTTCTTTCATTCCTGATGCTGGCGTGCCGCCCTCTCATTCCGAATCCCCTCCCAAAACCCGTCGTGGGGGGGGGGGTGGGTTAGGAAAGAAGAGGATGTTTTCAAAAGTGAGGCCGAGCCCTAAGACCCTGGGTCTGGGTCACTGGACTCAGCCAGGCTGTGCCTTTTATTTTGTTTGGTCTCTACTGAGGTGGTCGTGAGGTCAAGATCAGGGAGGTGTCAGAGCCCAAAAGGTCTCAACTCCAGAGTCATTATGGTGGACTTCTGTTACTCTGTTCTATACAGAAAAAAGTGTGTGTGTGTGTGTGTGTGTGTGTGTGTGTGTTTGGTGGGAGGTTAGAGCCAGTCAAGACTTCTCTGAAGTGTAGTGTACTTCTCTTTCACAGCCCTCTCTAACTTCCTGCAGCAGAAGAATCGCTCAAGTAGGAAGTGTGCAGGGTGTGGGAGTGCAGGGCCAAGGGAGAGATGCAGGGAGGGCACCAACACGGCAGACTCAGAATCCACTGTAGTGCAGCGCCCTCGCGGAGACCAGTGGGATTCTGACACACATCGAGTGCCACCAGGGTGCCAGGCCGTGTGGACAGTGCTTCCTGTGCCTTTGGTGGAGTCAGTAGAACTTTCTGACATCAGAGCCACAGTTGACCTATAAAAATGGTTTTTTCAAATAGTTGCAGTGAACTTGAACTCTTCTGAATCCCTCCCACAGCCCTGTGAAGGGACTGTCTCACTCCCCCGATTTTACAGATGATAAAACTGAGGTACAGAGAGGTTAGGACCCATGGCCAGTAAATGGCAGAGCTGGACTTTTAATCCAGGCAGTCAGGTCCAAGATCTGTGCCCTTAACGCTTTACTCTCCTGCTTCACTGGAAGAACCCCTGCTCCCTCAGGCCTGTGTGTGTGTGTGTGTGTGTGTGCGCAGATATTTGCAGTAGCACCCTACCAAACCAAAATTCGCTGTCACGGGGTCATGGCTGACCGTACAGAGCAGGGTGCAACTGCCCCTGTGGATTTCTGAGGAGTAGAAAGCCCCGTCTTTTTCCCTTGGAGAGGCTGGTGGTTTCAAACTGCTGACCTTGCGGATCACAGCCCAACTGGTACCTCCTACAGCAGCAGGGTTCCCCAGTTATAGATGCATGTTGGTTATGCATTTCTGAAATAGTGCATTCTTCCCCCTTGAGCGTGAGGCCTTGGTTTAATTGAAAAGAGGATTAGGAATCTGAGTTTTGTTTCTCCTTTTGCTTTTGTTGCATAATCTTGGGCTAAGGACGAAGCCTTGTTTTTGTTTTTTTGACATGCTCATCCCTGTACGTTTTGGACACCTCTCCTCCCCGCTCTCCCCCCTGCAACTAAAATCACAGAAGAAGAGCCTTTAGAATGGACTGGTGTGTTGTCATGGTCATCATAGCTAGGGGTAGCAGATTGGGTTTTTGAAAAATATCAATTTATTGTGGAAAATGGAATGAAAAAAAAGGATTTCCTCGTGAACTTTGTGAAGCCCCCTTATAAAGCCCATGTCACATTTTGTGTAGAAAGAGTAAAAATAAAACTCAGACAATGCCCTGGAGTCGATTCTGACTCAGGAAAGAGAGGTGCTCAAAAGTTCCACTGCCATCGAGTGATTCTGACTCACTGGGACCATGTAGGACAGTGGAACTGCCCCCTGAGATTCTCTGAGGCTATTACATCTTTTTTTAAAAAATCATTTTATTTGGGGCTTGTACAACTCTCATCACAGTCCATACATACATCCATTGTGTCGAGCATATTTGTACATTTGTTGCCCTCATCATTCTCAAAACATTTGCTTTCTACTTGAGCCCTTGATAACGGCTCCTCGTCCCCCCCCCTCCGCCCCCCTCCCTCATGAACTATTGATAATTTGTAAATTATTTTGTCATATCTTACACTGTCCGACGTCTCCCTTCACCTACCTTTCTGTTGTCCATCCCCCAGGGAGGGGGTTATATGTAGATCCTTGTAATTGGTTCCCCCTTTCTACCCTTCTGGTATGGCCACTCTCACCACTGGTCCTGAGGGGATCATCTGTCCTGGATTCCCTGTGTTTCCAGTTCCTATCTGTACCAGTGCACATCCTCTGGTCTAGCCGGATTGTAAGGTATAATTGGGATCATGATAGTTGGTGGGAGGAAGCATTAAAGAACTAGAGGAGGCTTTATATCTTTATGGGAACAGAAAGCCTCATCTTTCTCCCTTGGAGCACCTGGTGACTTTGAACTGCTCATCTTGTGGTTAGCAGCCCAAAGACCCTGTTGAAAGAGGGGTAGGTATACATAACTAAAATCAACCTTACAGGAGTTCTTTGGTTGTGCCATTTGAAAAGCCAATATTTAGAAAAAAGACTTCCTGTTTCAAGATAAAAAGGGTTAGCAAAAATGAGGGCAACCAAGTAGGAGTTAGACTGATACAAAAACCACAGCAGTGGCCTCACATATGTCAAGGATGACGAAGACGGTGCAGGGCCAGGCAGTTTCTATATAAGGTTGCCGTGAATTGGAGCTGACCGATGGCAGCTGCCACCACTAGGAGCTCTAAGTTAGGAGACAGAAGTCAGGGGACCCGGTGTGATTGCTTCATAAGCGCCCTTATTTGTGCTTGGAAAGATACAGGTGTCTTTTCAAGAGATTCAGGTGGTCTCCAACCAGGGATAGCCACTCCAAGGCAGGAAATGCTCTTTGTGGTTAGCAGTTTGAGTTTGTTTGTGTGACCGTGAGAGTGAATGATTCCAGGTTACTGTAGGCATCTCACGCAGGAGTTCTTGATTTTAAAAAGCGAGCTGTCACTAGAGAAGGAAGGTGCCCGGTCCATTCCTGAGATGTTGGCCACCTACTTGGTCATCTGACTTTGAGGAGGAGCACCCATTAGTATAGGGTCCCCCCTGCAGGTCGTGTGGGCCGTCATGTGCCTTTATGAGCCTAAGACCTGGGGAAGCCCCATCTGAGAGCTGCAGTCTCAGTGTTGGGCTGTTCAGGTTGTCGCACTTGTTCCAGGAAGTGCACGGTATCTTCCATCACTCGAGGACGCTCTTACCAGAAGATTTTCCATAGACGTCTTCTTTGTAGGTGAAACATTGTCTTGAAAAAAAGATGGTTGATGAAGGTTATGGTTCCCATCATTACATTCACGAGTCCATTTAGCAAATATATACTCACCACTATCAGGCACCCGAGATATGTAAAGGTCAGCTTATTTTAAACAACCCTGGACCAAACACAGGTAAATGAAACCCACTTAGGTTTTTGTAAAGGTCTGTCCGAGCTGTCATATCAAGGTTGCCAGCCCAAGTGTTATCTGAGGCTCGCAGCTGCTTCTCTTGTGCCAATGGCAGTTTCCTTTGTTAGGCTGTGGCTTCTGTAGTTGAAATCGTGAGTTTTGCTTTTTGTATTTATTCTTCAAGAGCCAGCGCTGGATAGGAACACATCTGATCTTCCTTTCTATATAAACTGTTTATAAAACTTTAATTATACTTGAGAAATGAGGTATTGTCCATTGTTTAGACAGTGATAGTTCAGGACTTCAAACAAACAAACTCCAACCAAAAAAGCAACCCCAGGCCCTGGACTGCTGAGATGTTTATCCTAACTTCGGCATGCATAGGCATTCTGATTCTGAGGTTTGGAAGAGGAGTCTCGTGTCGGCTGCTCACGTTTGGAAGCAGGGAGTTTTTAAAGAGGTCATTGGAATTTAATTTTTAAGACCTTTTGATTTTTCAAAGGTCAGCAGCGAATTTTGTGGTCTTCATTTTCAAGTTAAGGCAATTAATGGCTTGGAGAAGTTCTCAGTTTCACTAGTACATAGTCCTTGATATATTTAAGATTCTGTTAGGATTGCCCTATTGCAATCAGTGCTTACTGGGAGGTACGCTTGATGGGCTCAGGTTTTTTATCTTCCCTTCTGGTTTTGCCATTGCTTTTAGGGAAAGGTACCCGTTTGTCTGTCTGTCCCTCTGTATGTGTGTATGGACACCACACACACATATTTTAAATCCAAATCTTAAAAGAGTTGGTATTGTCGAACTAATTTAAATTTTTTTCTATAAAGCAGTCTTCAGTGTGACTACTTCCATATTTCACCATTTCCTGAGCTTGCTTTTCTTGTTCTTTGTTGTTTCAGGAAGCCATTGTATAGGGGGCGCGCACACACACACACTTCTTAGCAAACTCAAATACAGTAATGCCAAATATAGTTTTATCTTGGGCTTTAGTTTCCAGAGGTCCTAAAGCTGTGTGTGTGTGTGTGTGTGTGTGTGTATATATATA